ACCACACACACACACACGCACAAAAAAAAAAAAAAAACAGCAACTTAACAATGAAGGGTGCATAAGCGGTTTTGGTTCACAATCACAATGCTCTGGCCCAGACGCAGTTGTCAGGTGATGCACAACAACAAGAACAAAAATGCGTATTTAAGCTTATTATTACTTTTTGCTTGTTGCGTTAATTCTTCTGGAGGGTCACTCTTCCCTTCACGTGTGTCTGTGTCACCTACCCCACCCATCGCACACCCTCACGTCTCCCCCTTACTGAGGTACGCCTACAAATACACGCACGCATACGCGCGTCGCTACCGTATTTGTGCCTCATTCTGTTTGTTCACTCGATTTTTTTTTTCGTTCTTGTTTTGTTTTTTCATTATTTTACTCTTCGTTTTTTACCCCTTTACCGTACGGCGTCCTGCTCCTCGTCGCCCAGGTTAGAAACAACAAGCGTAACAGTAATACTAATAACAGGAATAGTAATGGATGGCAGTCTCCGCGCCCTATTTCCATGGACGGGCACTCAGCCCCACACTGCAAGGCCTTCTCACCCTTGTCAAGCGCCACCACGCGCTTCTCCATTGCACTGTGCCAGGAGAAGAGCAGAGGAAGAGGCGGACAAGAAATAGAGAAAAAAAAATCAACGAAAATATGTCAGCAACTTCCACTGCCAGCATCCCCAACAACGCGGTCAGAACGGACCGCACAACAGTGGTGGGGATAAGAAGCAAAAAAGGAAAAGAATAGCAAGAAAGAGGAAACCAAACACACGCCAACCCACACACCTAAGACCGACACCTACCTCACCCCATCTTCTCACATCGTCCGAACAACAATCCCCCCTCTCACCCCCCCCCCCACCACCACACCTGCACGCACCTTTTCCCCGCTGTGTTTCACCAATTCATTCATCCATTCTCGATCGTCTGCTCCGCAAACAGGGGCACACACGCATAGAAAATGGGGAAAGCACCAAAAGAACTTCAGACACGGAATAAAAGAAACAACACCAAAATGAAAGGTTTCATGGACCACTTCGTCTCACCTCCTTCCTTCTAACTCCTTCCTCTCATGCTCCAGAATACTATCTTTAATAACTGTCCCTGTATTGTCATTTTTTTTTGTGCATTCTTTTCTGTTCATCATGAAACATTGTCTTATTTTGATATTTTTTGTTTTGTTTTGTTTTTAGCACCGCTGTTGTTATCCCTTTTTCTTCCTTCGCTTATTTTAGCTTCATGGTGTCACCTTTCTCCTACATATACGTGCACAACTACGTACATGGATTCAACTGATTTTTTAAAGGTTAAGGCGCATCATCACAGCCTCTATTTTTTTTTTTTTTTTGGGAGTTATTCTTCTTTTTTTTTTTTGCTTATATGATGTTTCAAAACCCACACATTTTCACGGGGTTGAAGAGGGCGCAAGACACACACGGAAACACAGACCGACAGACACACGCAGAAATGTCCTTGCGACATGTGAGCTACTTCCCCACCCCCACGACTGCCGCCTAAGAGAAAACAAGGGGGACAGGGAAGAGAGTGTAAGCCCGTTGGAGCGCCGCCAATAGACACGCTTGAAATCCTCAATCACTTCCGCAGTATCTGCCGCCCTTCCTCACTACTCAAGTTCCCCCTTTACACCCATCACCCCCATATATATAGCCGTTGTGGCCCTATTTACCTTTTTGTTTGTGCGTTTGACATTTAAAGCGTCCTCGAGGCGCCGCGACTGATTCCACATGTCACTTGTTCACTGCTCCTCTCCCTCTCCGTCGCATAAATTACCCCGCTTCTCACTCCTTCCCTCACTTCCTCCGCACTGACATCCCGTTCTCCGTCTTCCACAGTGGAAGGCGTCTTCTAGTGGCTGACGCCCCATTCAGGTTACAGTGGTGAAACAATTCAACCCCAGAAAGAGAACATAAAGAAGTAGCGACCTGTCTTTCCTCAGTCAGAAGCTTAACCTGTATAGGTGCATAAATAAATACACACATATACAGCACGGGCAACGGGCACCAACAAAAACAAAGTCAAAACACGACAGCGGGCATTTTCAAAAAAAAAAAAAGAGAAGGCTCCCAACAAGCCAAGAACGAACGCAACAACAATAAAGTCTTTTCACCACCCACTGCATACATGTAGATATGAAGTTGCGTGTCAGTGTGTATTAGAAGGGGAAAACTGTGTCTTGTGCCCTTCTCTTTTCTCTCTCCCTCGGTGAGTGCGCGCGTGCCTGTCTGTCCGTCTATATAAGTGTGTAAGTTGTTCATGATTCTCCCGAAAATCAAACGTCACACAGTAGAAACAATGTTACACGGATGCATCCACTGCTGCATCGTTGGGTGCTGCAGTATATTTCTCGCGAACCTCGTCTATCTGAATACGATAACCTGCCACAGTCTTCTTTCCCTTGTGATCTGCCAAAACCTTGGCCACGGTTGCCTTGACGTCATCACCCTTTTCCTTAATGGCGTTGTGGTCCAGTTGAACAAAAGCAAAGGTGCGCACGACACTTGAATCATTCTTATCATTTCGTGTAAGAACCTTAATAAGCTTAGTTGGGGCAATTGGTTCCACAATATCACGGACTGTCTGCTCTGTGGCGTCGGTGGGAAGGCCCTTCACAATAATATCGTAAAACACCACAAAACGGCTCAGTGGACGGCCATCAGCGTCTTTGCGTTTGGCATTGACATCGTTGTTGTTATGATCCTTGCTGTTTCTCCCTGCAGTCAATGTCTTTCCTGTCTTCTTCCCACCATCGCCAGGCAACGAGACCCCAGTCGTCTTGTTCTTATCCGCACCGTTTTTGGGGGCAGCTTTATTGGCCTGCTTTTTCACTGGGTGAACCACCGCCCCTTTTTTATCCTTCGCTTGCCCCAAGGCAGAGGGGTCCTTGGTTTCCTTCGCCAGCACCATAAGCGGTGTGGTGCGGCTCTGTAAAGATCCACCACATTTGGACACCATAATAGCCTCTGCAAAGCTTTTCGGCTTCTTCACCTCAATAACTGGAGCGGGAACAGCTGGATCTGTCGTAGCCGTCGTCTTTTCAACGTCTTTCGATGCTTGAGTTTGACTCGTAGCATCAGTAATAGTATCAGCCAACGTTGCAGGAGCAGCGGCAGGAACTGTGGTTGCAACCTTCACCAAAGCAGCTGATTCCGTTTTCTCTGGTGTCTTCACATCCTCCCTCGCTGTGGAGTGCTCTACAGTTGCTACAACAGTCGTCGGGGCTGGCTGTTCAATCCTTTCCATCGTGTCAGCCGCCGGTTCGGCCGCAAACATAGGAGGTGTCTCCAGTGCCCACCGCCTCGGTGCCTCCCCACTGATGGCGTTTTCGCGTTTATCAAAGACTATCCCAAAGTTGCCTGGATGCGACGTGTGCTCCATGAGTTCCACCTCGTGAGTAAATTCCTGACTCACGCCTGGGGGATTTGTTATTGACCCCTTGATCGACACGTGAATGTGCCCATCCTCATCTGTCAGGGAGGTCAGCCTCTGAATCTTAACGGAGGCACCAGCTTGCGTGGGATACAGCCTCGCCATGACCTCTTCGATCTCCGCAGCGCCCGTTGCCTTGTGTCCCATGTGATTAAAGGAGGCATGTTGGGTGTAGAAATAAATCAGTTTCTCTGGCTCTTGCACCAAGCGGGTGTAATACTGGCAGGTGAAGCTCGCGGCAACACGCTGTTGTCGGTCAGTTCCGGTGGCCATCTGATACCCTTGCTTCTCCACGGGTTACACCGGAGGCAAAAACGGAGGAAAACGATGCTGATGAAGAAAAAAAAACAAAAACAAAAAAAAAACAGCAGCAGAAACAACAACAACAACACTCGGCAAACACTCGTGAAGTATCCCCCCCTCCCCCATCCACATCCCCAACCTACATAGACAAGCCTACTTTGTCATTTTTTTCGCGACAGGATTTCCCGCCGAGGGCCACAGAAGCGCCACCCGCTTCTCAGGAGTCATTGACTCCTTCAGGTCAAGAAACTCCTGAAAGTCTACTACACCCCACGATGAGTGGACACGCTGGCATTTGTCGCAGCGGCACGTCACGACAGACCCCGACATCCCAGTGCACTCACGCTGTTCACGGTGGTAGCTGCGACAATGTGCATCCGAGTCAAAAAGAATGGGATTCGGAATCGGTCTGTATCCCTTTGCGTGGCGTTGAATTGACTTGCAGTGCTCACAACGAAAAAAGTACTTCTGAAAAAATCGGCTTGACATCGCCGCGACCGGTCTCGTCAACACGCACCGCCTGTGGGTTGCGTACGCTAACTTCAGTGACAGAACAAAAAAAAAAATTTAATTTAAAAAAAAGAATTCGTTCCCTCCGTTGATAGAGAAACAGAAGATAGTGGCGTTTGATGGCGGCCACAGAACCGCCACAACACACGACGAGAAAGGGAGAGAGAGAAATAAAACGAGCGAGAGGATGAGAGGGGCAGACAAGCCTCCAGTGATTGCATTAAATGTGCATCAACAGGCGGGACAAACAGGCAAAAGCAAAAAGGTTGCATAAAAACCACAAGTGATTCACAGAGCCAACTTCTTGCGGCGTGGAATTCGCGTCGGTGGTGGTGGTTCATTTTTTCCCGACACTCCTTCTAATCCAAGGAACTGCCCAGTGCGTTGCACTTCCTCCGCGACAGGGACCATGTTTGGCCTCCATGCACACGACGGACAGTACGCTGACCAATCGACAATATTTGGATGCAGCGGGCACTGACCACGCTCCACGTTGCCTGTGCGACTGCGCACGCTCGCGCGGTAGGAGCCACCACAGCCCTGACACTTCCACTCTGCGCGAAACTTGCTCGTGCACGCTAACGACCCCAGGTTATCCACTTTGTCAGTCTCCGTAAGCTGCCTTACAAGCTCAGGGACGGAGGCTGCGAGCGATGGACTCGCATGCTGCTCGCGGAGCACCTCGGAAGGATATCGGCCCTTGCAAAAGTTGCAGCCCGCATGAAACTTTGTGCGCACACTGACACTCTTACGATAGGAGGATCCGCAGAAGGCGCAGTTCCAGTAAATGCGTCGGTGATCGTTCCAGCGGATATCTTGCATATTAATGCCAAGTTCCTCTTCGTTCTTCTTCACATCAATGTCATCTATAACAGACTGATATCGATTTGCAAAGTTGATCAAACGGTTGGAGTCCCGCGTGACCCAATTTACCCCTTTCATTGGAAGTTTTCGTCCGACACTGTAGTTAAGGTACATGGCACCGTAATGCATGTTGGGCCAAACGTTCGACCAGCGGGACTTTTGTTTGAACTCCGCTGCCAGCAGAAGTCGTGTTTTATTCATCATTTTCTCGCAGTATTTCTCTGTGACGCCGTGTCAATAAGAAAATACGACCAATAAGATCAAGCGTTGTTCCCTGTTCGCGTGACCCGTGTGGATGCCGCAAAAGCCACGAGTGGTATCTAAATTTGTGGTTGTATTAGTGATTGTGATGGCAACACTTTTATCAATGATGGAACTGATGATTTTGAGCGTTGACGCCCCCTGCACGAAGAGTCCTCCCCTCCCCAACCCGCAAACAGCGCCAACAAGGGGCAGCTGAATAAAGAAGAAGAGAGCGGGAGATAGGTGCGGTGCTTCCTATCACGCGTCAACTTGCCCCTACTTTCCAACAGTCAAAAATGCACAGTGGAAACCCTCAAAAAAAAAACGCACACGAATAAAACAGCATAAGTAACCGACAGATCAGCTTGCATCCAAAGAAAGAAACAAAATCAAAAACAGGGACAGGATGACACACAAACATATATGCACATATATATGTGGCACGCACAGACAGACACAAGGAGATGCAAAATAAATTATGCCTCCCTCCCCTCCCTCCTCCTGCGTGACACAGTCCAGCTATCTTAAATCATTCATCGTTAAAGGCTGGAAAGGACCATCACGTAAACGGAATTAAAAGTCCACGGCTCCGGGTTTCTCCAAACCCCAACGAGGATCGAAAGCGTACTCTCATTGACCGGGTCAATTTTAAAAGTCGTGCCACATATGCCCGTGTCCTACTCCCACTTGAATTATCACCATAACCGCTCTGAGGGAGTCATTGGCCGCGCGACGGTGTCATTCCCAACCTCTGCAATTTCACTGAAGAGCGGGCCTTCTTCTCGTTAGCACAAATAAGCCCTTCAATACTTTTTGTTTTGTTTTTAGTTTCGATTCATTGTCATTTTTATTCTGTTTTTTGCTTCCGTTCAAGCCACCAATGACTTGTGCATCAGCGGTTTGGGCGGGGGCGGCTTCCGTGGGTGCTCCGGCATGGGCGCCTTCCGCACATTCTCGTACTTGGGTGGGAAGGACAAAAAGAGCGTCATGCGCAGTGTGACAAAGATAATGGACCAAAGAATAATAAAGCGAAACCACGCCTGGACCAGAGCCTCATTTCCGGCAAATGGGTTACGACGGGGGTCCTTCGACGTCGCCTCTTCAGCATCATCGTCACCAAAAGGATTTTTCTTCACCTTCCCTGTGTGCATTTCTTCATAAAACTCGTCATAACTAACTTTACTCTTGTGTCGACGTGTTGTGAAACGAAAATTGCTGTAGCGGTTGCCACCGTCCGCACCCCCTTGAGCATCCGCGGAGTTTCCATCGGCGTCCTTCTTGATCCATATACCACTCTTGACCTGCTCGTAGGCTGCCTGAATCTCTTGAAACTTCTCATGTGAGCCACCCGGTGCGTCGGGGTGGTGTTTGCGGGCAAGCACTCGGTAAGCCTTTTTGATATCCTCCTTAGGTGAACCCTGCTTGATGCCAAGCACCTTGTACGGGTTAGTGCTAACGCTAGCAAAACGTGCCTGGAAAAGCATGGCTATTGCGCCAACTGTCACGTGCGTGGAGACAGACGATGCCAATGTGCGCCGGGCCCCACCTACAAGCAGCGCACGCTGGCTATGCCACATCATTAAAAGCACGCAAATAACTTTCTTAGCACCTCTCGAGTGCTTGTAATATTCTTTTGTGGATATTAAATAAATAGTTTACGTCACTTTTTGCCTTAACGCTCCTTCCTCCTGGGCCTCCTGCGTGTGTGAGTATGGTGGCAGGCTGGAGTGTGCCTGTAGTCTATCAGCGCAGACGTGTGCTGGTGGTTGTGTACCGCACGCCAAAACAAAAACAAAAAAAAATATAATACACACGCCAGGTATCCAATACACGATAAATAAATACACACGGAAAAAAACTAAACGCGCTCACACTAATAAAGGTGTGGTGTAAGCACAGTGAGAACAATGTGGTTGCTTGACTGTTGAGGAGTGTTGTGCGCCTCTTCCTCCCTTTCCTGCTCTCACGTGTATGTGTGGGTGTGTGTGTGGAGGAATAGAAATACCACAATTCATACGAATACGTACGAAGAGAGTCAAAGAAAGAAAAAAAACGCACGGCAAAGGGACACGTGGCGCCAATGTGCGTTCACTCAATAACCCACATACACAGCCCAAAACCATTCCACGGTTCGTCTCCCAAAAAAAAAAAATACATGCATTGGCACCAAACACAGAATATCTTGCGTGCTTTGGAAAAAGATGAACATTTTACTGCATCCAAATGGGGGTACTTCAAGAGCGCGCGCACATCATACATGCGGCACCGCCTACCTGCATCCCAGAGTGATGCCCCACCCCAACTCCAAAAATACATGGAAGAGCGGTGCTATGCAGGAGAAGCAGCCTCATTCCTTTGCGTTTCACACAATAACGCGCCTTCAACGCGGAGAAGCACCCTTCCTTTCCCCTGAAAGAGTGCCTACCGATTCGTTCCACATTTCAAGCAATGCAAGTAACGAAAAGAAAAACAATCACACACACATAAAGAGAAAGAGAAAAAAAAAATGCGGCCCAAAGGCAGCAACAAAAGCAGAAAAGACAATATAAAAATGTAGAGGATGCTGGTAAGGAGAGAGATACAAAAAAAAAAAAACAGCAAGCGAATACTCACTACCATATGCATAAAGAAACGAATTCACTATGCCAGTTTTACTGTCGCTGCTTTCCACAACTGGAACAAAACCTTACCTGGGCAGAGCGATACATCTTTCCGCAGCCCGTGCAGTACTGCGGTGGTGGTGGTGGTGGTGGTGGTGGTGGTGGCGTCAGGGCTGGAACTACTGGCAACTTTTCTAACAACATCCGCTGCGATGTGGTGCACTTGCCACTAGACGGCGCTTCACCTGCCTCTAGCACGGGTCGACTGGGTGGGGCGGTAAGCGCCCCGCCGCCGGTTGGGTCCTCAAGCACCAACTCTCGCAAAGACCAATCGAGCGTCATTAAAGGAAAATATGCTTCACGTACCGGCAGCCCTCTCTGCAGGCGTTCCTGCTCTAACTCAAAGACAGTTGCATGGGCCTCGCCCTCGCGGTCGCACACCGCACATAAAAAGTGACTCGTAAATCCACTGCAACCGCACTCTTTGCAGGAACGCGTTCGTGGATCATGTTGTTTGTGTCCATGACTGCAGCGACACTTGACGGACCACTTTGCCGGGTCCCAATTATGCCTTCGCGTCAGCCACCCTTCTCCAATCTCTTCTGGCTCGTTTGGCATGTAGTTAAACCCACCACAAGCGCATGCCTGACATTGAGGTGTCGACACGCGGCCCCGCACTATTTTTAACGCGGTGTGCTCTTCAAGTGTATGACCGCAAAAGCAACGATGCTGATACCCAACTCTTGTACAGAAGTCCGTATTGGACCCTGACAACTTAGGTTGCTCACACCGCCAGACGGCGTACACCCCCGTCTTAAAGGCCAGCATTGCAGCCTCATTCTCTCGGTTAATAATTTTCTTGGATTGCGCGGATGGGCCAAAGCGACAAATGCCCTGAAGAACTTGAGCTTCAGACGTGGCATGTTTTTGAAAGTTGTTTTCAATCACACCCTTTACCCGCGTGGCGAGGTCACGTATCTCCTCATGCACCTTGTTACTGTCAATCACCGTGCCGTAGGGTTCAGGTGGGCCGCGTGCGACGACTCTGTGCGAGAATGGCCCAGGCAGTGGACGCAGGGGACGACTGCCGCGTGGTCCCACAACCTCACCTGTGCCGCCGCGCGCTTCCTGCCTCTGCATTGGCGGAAGAACAAAAAGTAGATGATTTCCACGCGAAACAAGCAGCAAGAAGGGCAAGGGCCAAATGTAAAGTAGAAGTAATAGACGCCTTTTCACGACCCGAACTACTGCGAGTCCACAAGTAAACTTCAAACAGACCCCCACAATCACGCAACGCAAAAAAAAAAGAACTATATATATATAATAAAAAAAAAAGTAGGGCTTTTAACAATAATAATAATAGACGTCAATATGCATCTGGAGAAGCACAAGCACACACACGCAGGCCCACACATCCGTCATGTGGTCATTTCCCGCCTCTCCCATCCATCGCACACAAACGCACACAGAAACTTAAAGGTGTAGATGTGTGTACCTTAGAACCAAAACAAAACCGTCCACTCTCCTTCTCTCTCATAGCAAGACAGTCATATAGCCTCTACGACTTACATTGACGTCCCATTAAATCAGAGAGCCTCACTCTCAACGCTAATGCGTTCCACCTCCATGCACTTTGAGAGCGGGATGTCTTTCATCAATTGCCAGGTCACGGCGCATGCGCAAAGTTTCGTGACAACATCCGCTTCTCTAATGTCGTGGTATCCCTCAATGACTCCCTCAACCGAAGTATTATGCCTCTCCTCCGAAGAGTTGATTGACAACGCCGTTGGAAGATCGACAACTCCGTTAAACATTGCAAGAGGGAGGAGCAGACTGCTGGTAAATTGGGCCGCCACACAGAGCGCCACAATCTGATATGGATTCATCGACATCGCCAGTAGTGTATCGCGCACCTTAAGCGTGGAACCTGCAGGAATTTGTGGGTGACCAATGCCCACAATTCGTGGCACATTTACATTAAAGACATGCGCAAACCAATCTGCAATGGGACCAATCACGCGATCCTGTTCCGCCAAAATGGGGGCAGCACGGAAGTACATGTTATCATTCTGGTAGAACGACATCAAATAGTCCACACGCGGGGCAATCATTTGAGGGGCAACGGCCAGTGCTCCACTGCACATATCTGTCATTGGCATCAATAGTTTGTTTAAATACACTGATTGCTCTGCATACTCCTGTGCACAACCGTATGCCATGGCCTCACTCGGAATTGCAAGAACATTTTTGGACTCAAATGCTTTTACCTTGCGTCCATCCACCAAGACAGTATACCACCCATCATGACCGTCAAGCAGGCCTACATCCACATCCTTCCAAAAGACACGCACGGCTGCCGCAGAGCGATCCCGCATTGACACATCCATTTGATACAGTGAGTCCTCCACTAGTACACGACTCTCTTCTTTCTCCTGTTTCTCTAGACGCTCATACAATTCTTGAAGTTGTTGCGGGTTCATCTTGGACCATTCATCTAGCTTGCGTTCCAGCTCGGCCGTCGAAAGCTCGGCATGCGCTCCAGGATCCCGAGGGACACGATCAAGCAGGGCAGAAGTGTCTATGTTTGCAGAGATGCGCCGCTTTGGTTTTTTCGATGCAATGGTAGGTCCACGTTCAGCCCTGCTGGAGCTGGGACCGACGTTGGCAGAGGAGGAAGAGGCACAGCAGCGCTTGCCGCTCAAGAGTATACGCAAGCGAAACAGTAAAGAAGAAGAAAGCTGCGATTGCACAAAATTTCGCATTGCTGAACACCTTTTTTCTCCACACTTTTACCTTTATTATTATTACTGTTGGTCTTTGCGTCTGTATGTGTGTGTGTGTGTGTGTGCAATGCCCAAGCTGTGAGGCGGCCGTTGTGAATCAACTAGAAAGTTCCACCTCTGCGGCCTAAAAAGGCAAGAATCTAAAAAAAAAAAAAAGGCAGAGGAAACAGCGCCGTATAATTACAGAGGAGGAAGAACCAATTCACAGAGACCTACACGCACCCAGGTGCCAGGTAAATCACCAAGTTTTTACATTATCTTTTTCTTTTTTTTCAGTGGGTACCCCCGTAGGCATGACGTGGATCCCTTTCCGCCCCTACAGTAAGTCGTAACGTACATCGACTGAAACTATCTCCCGTGTGCGATCGCAAAAAAACTCTTCCAACTTCCACTGATGAATCGCCCCCGGGCTATTCACAGCATCAAAGTGTGACGGCACCGAAAGCGGAGGGGGCAGACTCCTCCGCTCCTCACCGTAATTGAAGTCGTACCAGGACGTTTGCAGAGCTGTTTTCTCGTTGGGCTTGACACGGCACTTTGCGTGCTCCAGAAGCTGCAGCGATTCAAACGACCAGCGTGAAATAAATGTCAACCCTAGCAAAGGATCCGCATGGTGCGAAAAACTTTCCAACGTCGCATCCGATGAGGTGAGGCAAATCACGTTGGGGGCCTTAATATCAAGGCACATCCCCAACGCACGGCAGGTGTCCACCAGAAAAACCACCTTCCCATACCGTCGTTGCTCCCACATCATCATAAGTGTATCAGCAACGTCCATGGAGCTCATGAACTCTGAGTCCTGAACTTTAAAAAAACCTTCCGCAGCATGTCCAGCGGCATAAATCAAAATATTAGAGTTTTCATCAGTGTTGAGGCGGCGTGAGGGGGGGGGTAAGTGCGTCGTGGCGTCCCTGCAGAAGACCGAGAAAACGACGCACGTCAACATCGTATCCAGCGTAGTCCACTTCGACGCTGCAACCGTACAGATTAACTCGATCAGTACCGGAAAGAGTGCTGTAGATGGCGGCCGGATAGGGGTTGCGTGGGTCACAGGCATAGCTGTCACCAAGAAAAAGAAGAATGTGATCGTCATCCAGTCCGTGCTTGCGGCAGAGATGGTACATTGTCAGTGCATTGGAGGTGTGGCGTATATTAAAAAAGTAGCGTGAGGTAGACAAAATAACAGCCCATAAGTTTGGCACAGTCTCGTTGCTTGCGGCAGTGGCAGTGGCGGTGTCGAGTGTTGCCAGCAAAAAAACAAAGAGGCAGCAGCACCACCACAAAACGACCACTGGACGCATCATTTGAAACTGGTGCGAGACGCTCGCGTTTGGTGTGGCCCTCGCGGACGTGTATGCCCTTGTGTACTGTTCCCTTCTATGAGTGCAGAACTCGGAATAACTTCCACCTCCGTTCTTCGCGTTTTCCGCAGTAGCAACAAGATGTGGGTGAAAGAAAAGAAAAATCTAAAACAAAAACAAAAAATGCAAAAGAAACGCATCCACCCACAAACATCGAGGACAAATTCCGCGTACTCCCCTTGTACCCGAGCAGACGGAGTGCGGGAAATGACGTATACGACGGCAACAACCAACGCCACTAAGTTCCAAAAGACAAAATAATAAAAATAATAATACATCCACGTCCGCCTCTGTGGCACACGTAGAAAATCCGAATATACTTTTGTTCCACACGCTCGTCACACACACCTCCCTCTCTCTCTCTCTCTTTCTCCTCACCCCCACCCTGCGCTTCCTCGTGTTACGTCAACAATCGCTCGCTACTATCTATCTGCTGTAGTCGTGGGGGCATTCGCATATGCGAAATAGGAATTTCAAACTCGTTTGCGCAGCCCAAAAAAGATTGCGTGACCCCACCACCCTTCGCATCCCCGCGACTCGAAGAACCCGCCGCGCCATTCTTCCAAATCAAGTCAAATCCACCCACGCGGACTTCATCCCCCGTACGGCGTTTCTCTATATCAATAACGTTGAACATGTCCTCCAGCATGTTAAATTTTAGATGATAGTCTGCAGGCGTCTCAGCAGAAAGCGAAGGGGACGCGTTTGTTTCAATAAGCCAAGGGTGCAACTCATTATCCACCATAATATCATAGCCATAAAGCTCAAAGCAATGTTTATCTTGCACAATAACTTTCTGCACAGCATGCAAGGAACGCAAAATCATGTTCTGTATATCGTCAAACACCTTCTGTGCCGCCTCCACTCCACGCGAGGCGGTAATGTACTGGCGAAGGTTGCGCAGCCCATACTTGCACCCTGATAACGGAGTATATTTTGGATTTGTTTTCTGAACTGCAACGTTTGTGACGTGAATAAAAGTGTTGTCAATATCCTTCAGCGAGAACCGTTGATAGCAAAAGCGTGCAAATCCAGTGCGGTGTAGCCATATCGTAAGCGGGGCGTAGCTAGTCACAAGAACGTAGACACGTAGATCATACTTTTTCCCACCCACCAGGTGCGGGTTGTCAATGTAGCGCTGCGCCAAATACGGTTCCACTGGCTCCGTTCCGTAGGAACCACCCGGCTTCTCACCCGTCCCTCCAACCTGCCGTTGCTTGTAGTCCTTCCGCCACTCCGCAATCTGGGATATCTTTGAAAAAAGAAAAATGCCTTTGCCTTGCGCCTTTGCTGGTGGTTTCATGATCCAAATGGCGTTTGGCTGACGGCGAAACTCCATCTCGAAGATTCCGTAATCCTGTGGTAACGAGAAGGTGACGGGGAAAAAGTCAAACTCCATCGCCTCGTCTACGCGTCCCTCCCGCTCGAGGCTCTTCCGCATACGCTTCAGATTCTTTACCATGAAGTCCTTGCGGGTAAGCTCAAAGTGGTTGCGGAAGTGGTTGATTCGCTGCATGTCGTCTAGCCGCACGTGGTCGTACACCTCGCGAATCCACCCCACATCGGCCCAAAACACGTCCCAGCCGAGGTCGCTGTCGGTCTCAAGCCACCCACGACTGCGCATTACGTCAAGGACGGTGTTGCGCAAAAACGTTCTAAAACGAACGGGTCCCACGCGACCTCGCCGCTCACCTGTGGGCATTCTCGCAGTGCTGCCGCAGGGATTTATGCTTGTGGGAAGTGAGTGCGCGCTCCTTCACCTGTTGTTGGCGCAAAAGAGAGAGAGAGAGAGAGAGAGGAAAAAAAAAAGCAACCAACAAAAAAAAAGTAGAGGGAGAAAGAGAGATAAAAGAACCACAGATAAGAAATGCATAACATAGCACTCGCGATCAAAACCAAGCGCATCAGGCAGCATAAAAAAAAAAGGACGAGACAACGCAACGAAGCATCTGCAAAAATGCATAAAAAGATGGAAAAACGGTAAGAAGTAAGGAGAATGCCGCCAAACGGAGAAAAAAGAAAACGAATGCAAATTTATTGCTGTTGTTTGCTTATCGTTTTTAATTATAACTGTGCAGGCGCGTATTTCATTTTATTTTAAAAAAAAAACGCCAATTTGCTTCCACCCCACCATGTTCTCTATGACTGAAGGTGTTCCTCACGTTGTCACTCGCCGCCTTACACCCCTCTCCTCCGCAGCCAATCTCTCTCTCTCTCTCGCTCACTCCTTCTCAATCTCTTGTTATCCCAAGAAACCGGAAGGATTTCCAGAGAAACAACCCACCACAGAAACTGGACCCGAGTCATCAACAATACGAGATCGTTGAATCTCGCCACCCTGCATGCTCCTTGCAGGCACTCACCACGGAGCGAGGGCCTCCCCCGCCGATCCCTTGTCAAACAGCAAAGTATACGAATGTAGCACATCTTTTCTACCTGAGCGAAGGAGTGTGAGTATATGGCGAAAACGAACACGGTGGTGCGCGGCGCAAAATCCCAGCAACTTGTCAATCCTCGCAGTACAAGCAGACTCACACCACTGAAAACAAGTCCGCAACAAATTGAAGCTTAGCCCCATTTCATGCTGCTCCAAACCTGAAGAAACGACAATATGAACCACCACTGCTTCAAAAATGTCTGCAGTGACCTCGTCTTCCACAAATTTGCTGTGATCCTCAACCACACTCCCCAGAGACAGCAAAACCGTATCAATTGCCAAAAGAACATCTACCAACAATGAGTATTGTAAACACTTTAGAAGACACCTCAGCAACGGCTCCCACATCATGCGGGTACCAAAAAGTCCATGTAACTCAAAACAAATATTTTCTGTTGTTGTAATGGCCTTCGTAATGAGCTGAAACACCCGTTCGCGGGATCCCGTGTGCGACATTATCAGTTCGGCAGGGGTAGCAAAAAGGAGTGTAAAAAAATGCGTAAAGGTTGAAAGAAAGTCTTCACTGTAAAACAGTGCTACGCCCACGTTACACCAATTACCCGTAATCATATCATAAACGATATCAGCAACATTGTACAGAAACACCTCATTAACCACATCTAAAGGAAGTTCTTGCACGGATTCTTTCAAATTCAAATTGGATAGACCCATTCTATTGATGATCCCGGTTGTTGCAATAGAAGCAAATCTAAGCAACGCCCAATGCGCCTCACACTTGCTGTCGTCCATCAAGCAGTCCGTTGCCAAGTCACAGAGTTTGGCAACCAGCTGCAGCAGTAACGGTGCCTCATCAGGAAACACCCGAGGCAGCTCCTCAATTTCCTGGATTCGTTGGATTAGAGCATCCAGTAGCCAATAAAAAACATCTGACTGGTGAATGCCATCTACAATAGCACTAAGATCATGCAACATTGCATGAGGATCGGTGTTCAAGCGATCCAAGTCCAACGCCCGAGCCATAATACAAGGAATAAAGTCTAGTGTTGGAAATCCCGCATAGTGGCGGCCCTCGTCAAAGAAGGTCAAGACACTAAGCATGGAAGAGCGGGCCTTTCTATCCTCCGAAGTAAGTTTCTCGCTGGAAACGCGGAGCAGATCAATGCGTTCCTCCTTCACTGCCAACAGCACTGCACTCATTTTTTCCGAGCCCAAAAAAAATCCATGGACACCCTGCATTAACACCTTTCCAAGAAGGAGATTAGCGTCAATAGTAAGACACGTCTTATCACTGTGATATACGTAAACGTAGTATAACAAGTTGTTCATAATATCATAAAAATCACAGGATGCCTCAGATAAAGACTCATATACACATCCACAGAAAAAGAAAAGGGCGCGCAATATACCCATGTGAGCCTTGCCTACTCCTGTCATTGAACGACGTTCAGAATTTTCGCCCTTCACTTCCGTCAGAGAAAGACTCTCTAAGAGTGCACTAGTCAATGAATCATCCACGGAAAGTAAATCACGTGCAAAATGAGCCACAATTTCAATTAATTTATTGCTGCGGTGGACGGTGTTGTTTAGCACGGCGATTGCCACAGCAGAAATGATAACTGAAAGCCGGGATAAGCATACATGCATAAGAAACAGAGATGTATCCACGGCACCGAGGGCAGAGCATACAGATTGCACATCGACAGCAAGTGACAACAAGAGATTTCCCATTTCCTCTGTGCTTCCAGTATCCCGGATACGTACACAAATCCCATATTGCTCAATCGTATTTTGTAATCGTCGTGCAATAAGCCCGTAAACACCAATTGTGTCACAAAAAAGCATCTCAGCAATTGGTAAAAGGGTTTTTTCATTGTGCAACATAACACCCATGTCAGAGCGTATTTCGGAGGAGTCTTCGGTAAGGTGAGCTTTGGCGACAACGTTGTCAAAGTAACACTCTGCTACCTGTGAAACACTGCTTAATATCAACTCTATTTCTGCGAGCTTACTCCCCTCCGCTCCCACACGCGGTGCAATACAGTCACCAAAGATATAAAATAAATGCATAACTTCTTGGCGAAGTTCCTCCTCACCATCCTCCCATCGGTTGAGTACATCACTTACCATATTAGCCCAAAATATAACAAGGTGTAAGTGTTTGTCGAAATACGTTAGCGTCCGTACCTTGTCATGGCCAAACATGTTCACAAGCAGTGCACAACTTAATTGCAGGAGGTAAGAGAATCCAGTGGATTCATAGAGATAAAGTAGTTCCGAGGAGAGTTCAAGAAACAAATCTCCTAAGGAGGAGCATGCCTCAAGCGACTCTGCGCTGATATAGACGACAGAAGAAGCCATTCGTAGTAACCGTGCACAGTGGCCACTCAATTCCAGCATGGGATTCTCCAGAATAACACGACGGCAATCCTGTACGGCAAGAGAAATCGCAGGAAGCCAAATCTTACTCTTCCCCAGATCGATGCTATCGTCCACCTTACGCTGCACTGTGATAAGAGCTGCTGAGTAGAGCGTTGGCACTACCTGCAAGATGGTGCAGCACACCTCCAGTGCACGACTCCCACAAGAGGAAATTTGCCCCACACTAAAGCTAAAAAAATTTGGAAGAATATCATCCAAAAAGTTCGACCGCAAAAATATCAGAGAAATCTTTTTTTCCTGTCGCGAAAAGTAGGTCAGAATCTCTAGTAAGCAGGCTAGCACATCGTCCACAGGAAGCTGCGCGGAGAGTTCCTCTATGATAGACAATCCAATTCCCTCCGGCACGTCATCCCTAGCTAAGACCATCATCCTCCAATTCACGAATAAAGCAGAAGCGTATATGGAATAAAGTTCATTTTTAATGTATATCGGAAGTTCCTCACCGCGCTCCCGCAACACCTTCAAGTAGTCCATAATGTAGACCTGAGTTTCTTTTCGCTCCTGTGGTCCTAATTCATTAATTACGATGAAGCGAATCGCCTTGCAGACGACGAAACGCAGATAGTTGTTCTGGCAACGTGGAAGCAAGTTTTTCACCACATCCCAATAGACATATGAAGTCATGAAACGAAGTCTGGCCGCCGCGCTATCGCGCACTGTCTTGTCTGGGGATGTCAGGACATCCGTTGCAAGTTGTGCCAGCACCTCAATGCTCATACCCTCCACTACTGCTATGTCCGTCATTCTTTCTCTCAGCCCCTTGTTTATTTCTTCCGTAGCACTACCGACTGCCCCTTAAAACACGCCAAGATTAAAGTAAAGGCAAACAACAAACAACAATAGAGGCACAGGGAGAAGAAGAGAAAAGCAAGTACACGACATGACATCATCACGTCAACGCAACGTCACTGGTAGCGCGCCAAATTCCAGTCTCAGCATTGTTTGTTCGGTTCCTGTGTGAAGGAAATTAGCACGCACACACACACAAACGCAAAAAAAAAAGCGAGGGCAATAAATCATGTCAAGGTCATTGAAACACGAAGATCAATGACCGTCGTTCTCACGAGCAGCTGGGACACTATAGTGTCAGAATAAAAAGCCGTTCGATGTGGTTACGGGCCGCAGACCAAAGCGACTTCTATGCCCCGTTTGCAACCCCTCATCGCCGCTATTAAATTGTTTACCACCACCACGACTAGTAGTGTTGTGGTCATTTTCGTTGCTGTCGCGCCCATCATGGGGAGGAGGCACTGCAAAACGGGCAGGTGCAGCCCGCACCTTCTTGCTTCGTTCACAAGCCTCAGAGGTGGCACCTGCGCTCGGCGCACGTACCACCCTCTGCGCAGGGGAGTAGGAGAGAATCGAAAGCGGCAAAACCTTATGGTGTTTTGTTGTTGTGCATAAGACGAAGTTGCTGCGCTGGCGCTGCCACAGCTGCGCTGCGAGCATCCACAGTGCCCGCCCATACGATAAGGATGAGGTCCGTTGCCATTGTGCAGTCGTTGCAGTGACTGAGAGGAGAAATGCAATCCAGTCCCACCGGCAGCGAAATCGCAACACCAACACTGCTGCGCCAGTAAAACCACCTTGATGTCGTCGGTTCGGCAGCAATGATACTACGGCTCCGTTCTCGTGGTGTGAACGGTCGTGTGAGATGAAAATGAGAAAGTACGAAAGCGCTTTATCAATATCAAAAAGTGTACACGCGTATTTCAGTAGCAATTGCCGTGCGCGGGTCCCACACACAATACTGCTGATACTCCCAGTGGGCCCACTGGCAAGAGAACCATGTGGATACAATAAAAGACCATCTACAAGTGACAAATGATATATTTCCCGCACACGGCGCTTCGAGCTTCTGTCGACTCCGCTCTTTTCTCTCTGCTGTTCTTGTTCGTGTTGGGACGCTGCCCGCTCCTCCCTTGGGCACTGCATCTTCTGCCGCTTACCTTGTGGCAGCGCAAACAACAGTGATGGCGATGCACGGAATCGAGCTGTGGGAGATGTCCTAGACGGACCGTTCAAAGTTCTTTCAAGTCGCTCCACCAGAAGAAGCACCTCCCGCCCATCTTTTGAAAGTCGCACAAGTGTAGGTATGATCCTCCCCTCGCTCGGGAGGACATCCGCCAGAATACCTCTCCCCCGCAGCAGAAACAAAAACTGTGATGGCAGAAGAGACTTTGCTGGAGAGTTTGAAACTGAGTCCCTCAACGTTGATGACGTAACACTGGGAGACAGAAGACGACGTGCCTGCGATGGAGCAGTAGAGGAAAGAGTAGTAGGTGACACTCCCTTCCTTTCGTTGGTAACGGTCGCAACTGCGGAAGTCACTGGAGGCGGAAACGGCAGCGAAGGAGATGGTGTGCGGTTCTCTGGCATTCCTTGCCCTGCAGATGGGAAACTTGCAGGACTGCCACTCCTGCTACACACAGCAACCGTGTGGTGATAATTGCATGGGGATGGGAGGGAAGTTCCCCCAGGCTCCATGGGCGATGACGATAAATCTGTCTGCAAAGGCGTTGAGAAAGCAAAAACTCCATCTACAGGTGGGGAACGAGTCGCTTTGATGGGAGCGCCTCCGCGTTGTAATGACGAATCACCATGTGAAGCCGAAAGAGCAATGGCTGAAGTGAAAGAAGGAGCAGGAAGGTGAACAGGCGGTGCGGATGTAGTTCCAATACCTGTGTGGGCGCGGAGTGCCGCGAGCGCCTCTTCGTGAGCCTCAATCGCTCGAATTTCCTCCTCAGTGGGGATGTGGCACTCCTGCGACACCGCCAAGCTGCGTCTCACATCACCTTCAATTTGAAGCACCTTGGCGATTCGCTCTGATTCCATTCGCTCAATCTGAACTTGCGCCTCAGCAAGTGCCTTTTCACGGGTCGCTAACGCCGTGCGGCGCACTGTGCGCAACTCCTCCAAACGACTTTGCTCCTCCGCACGACGCTCAGTAAGGCGCCTACGGAACTCCTCCTCCAACACCGCCACATGCGCCAACGCCTCTGGAGGTGCCAAACTGCTTCCGCCCCCCTCCTGCACATCATGCATTTGATTCAAGCTACTGTCCAGAGCGGCTGGCGTGTCTGGTGTCGTCAGCATCAACGGGGCTGGAAGCTGCCGCTGCAGGTCCAACCCCCTACAATGCGATGGAACAATCAACGGAGCTGAGGCATCTGACCTCTCCGGTGCTACCTCTCGCCGCTTCCCCCGTCGTTCGCGTGCACGCTTTAACGATTCTAAATGCCGCTGCGCGTCTTCACGCTGCTCCTGTAGTTCACGCCGTCGCTGCTCCGACGGAAACTCTGCCTCTGACGACACATGGGGAAGACTACTGAAGAAGTCACCCCGCTCAAGCGTGCCAGCTACATATCTAGGGAGGTTGTTGGTGCTCGTGCGACGTCCATGGAGCAAAAGCGTCTCATCGATAACACGCACAACATCGCGCATGCGACGCCGGAGTTCGCTCCTAGCATCCTCCGATTCCGCGCGCATAAAACCCTCCTCCCTCATCACTGCGCCCTGGTCCGTTCAATGGCGAGCTTGGAATTGAGGCAGGGAAGGAGAAAGAGCAAAGGAAAGAGGGAGACGCACCTACAAGGGCCGACAAATAACTTTGCCTATTTCCTTCCCAGTCTTGCTAAAGGAAAGAGAATTCTCAAACACACAACAACAACAACAAAGTGGGACACATGAGCTCAAACACAACTGGTCGTGCCCCGCGAACATCCCACTGCAGCGGTAGGTGAAAAAGAAAAATCAAAAATTCCCGAAAGAAATGATGCGGGTCCAATGGCTATTCGCGCAATGATTGAAGCAAAAGCAGCACCCAAAACTTGACTACTGCAGATGCCCATCTAGCCGTCAACGGGCTTGTGGTTAAGTATTTCACCGGTCCAATCTCTTATCCTCACTGCCTTGTGTCGCTGTTGTGTCAAACAATTAATGCCCATGCTCTCACATTGCAGCGCATCCGCTTTTTTTTTCACTCTCACTCCTTGCGGTTTCGTCTCTTTATCTATTCACTCAGCTTCTTACTCCGTTACACGCTCCTTCTTCAAAGCGATGATACATGACGGTTGACGCCGTGATTAGGCAGCAACCCCAAACAAACATCTCGGACGGCACCTGCCCCCAGATGATAAACGACAAAATGCCACTCACAGCCACCGCCACTCCTGTTGCAAAGCCCTTGACGATGTTGTCCGCGTACTTCACCACGATGGCCACCAAAAGCCCACCGAGCGCGTGAACAAAGACAAGACCAATGGTTAGCCATTGATCGTAGCCCCGCCAGAAATAAAACGTTTGACCACTTTTTCCTTCCACCTTCCATGAAGGAAGGATATCCACAAAAAACATGGAGAGCACCGCAAAAGGAATCCCAAAGAGTGAGAGATGAATATTCCGCACCGCCAGTGAGGGTGGCGTGGTTTTGACAACCTTCTCAAAATATACGCCGGCGTAGCTGGAGGACAGCCCGGAGAGGACGCAGGAGACAACACCAAGCAGAGGCCGCTGAGGGTGTTCTACCGTGGGCAAAGAAGCCCTTGCCGACATTTCTGCACCCTGCAACTGAGTGAGGAGAACCCCAAAAATGAGCACAAACAACGACAGCCATTGCATCATGCTGAGACGACGTTTAAGCAATATTACGGAGAAGGCGGCGGCAGACACCAACTTCGTCTGCGACCAAACTTGAAAAGATACCGCGTCGAGGTTCGAAAGACCAATAAAAATAAGATAATTCTGCATCATAAAGAGCGCCGCAGGCACCGACAGTTTAAGGGTTTCTTTCTGAGAGATTGCACGCCACAACGATGTTAGTACGCTGGGGGTAACAGTCAAAAAATCCCTGGCACCAAGAGGAGGAACTCTGTTGGAATAACGGTTCTCCACAGCAAAGATTACAACGCAAAACAGCATCTTTAGAATTTCCTGGTTTAGTACGAGTGTAGAGGTGTGATAGCGGCTTTCGGGCGTCCCATTAACACGAGAATAGCGCGTCATGATGACCAAACTGCAGTTCTGTAACACCAGCACCACAAGGCTAAGGGTGGCCGGCGAGGCCCATCGTAGGCCTGGCATTATCCCAACAGCAACGCACAAAAAAATAAAAACGCACGCACACACATACAACACACCAACAACAACACACACACACACACGCCTCAGTTGCACAGTGGGGTTTAGCTGAGGCGCCGATAGTTTCGGTTCCACGGAACACAAAGGGGATTCGAAAAGTAAGACAAAAAAAACGGAAATAGTTAAAATATCCCTCGAAGTTGCAACGGTCTAGACAACGCACGAAACGGTATTCTAAGCGGGCCAACTATCCTGGTGCACCCACTTCTGTGTGTATTCTCAGGACACAAACGACGCCTACCTCTTCCTCGGTAATCCACTCGACATGTGCGGGTCAACCAAGAGAAAAAAAAGGCAATGAAAAAAACTCATCGTTTCAAAGGAAATCAGAAAGTATGGCAATGCAATAGCAATGCTTGGAACACAGATGCACAGGATTTATTACTCACATGAAAGAGCACTGTCTACTCCTAATGACAACGCCCCACCCACCCCCCAACTCCCAGCAAAGGTAAAATATACATTACATACCTACTCGGTAGTACTACACAAAACCCTTCACGTTCATCGTGGCACATTTGTAAAATAGTCAATCACAAGCAAGGATATTGCGATGATCTCCATTTTCAATGTTTCAAGAAGCAGGGACCCTGCCTCCACTATTTCCTTACCGCGGCCGGTGCTGACTTCACCTCCCATATCATGCGCTCCTTCTCATATCCTCTACTGTTATTATTATGAAGTTTGCGGTGGTTGTGAATTCGTGTGTACATCCATTCTGATAGCTCCACTATGTCTGTCTTGCTCTCCCACCCGGGTCGGAACCGTACTGGTTGTTGATGCTCAGCATAGTCCCTCGTTTTCATCCTAGATTCGCTGCACTTCTGTGCCTCTACATTTGCCAAGGCGACACGATTCTCAGACTATTTTACTTTGTGACTGAGAGCACCATTTGTACCTGCTAAAGTTGACGCCACAGTGCGCTGTGACGGCCGCCGCACTGTGACATTCTGCGGAGCGACTGGCGCATCTATCTGCGCCACTGTAACCGCGTGGACCCCTGGCTGTGTGACCTGCCACTTATAGTGGCGGGGTGGTCGTGTGACTTCGACATAGCACTTCCCTAGGCCAGGTGGTGACGGCACGTGACGCCCCGTGAGCCAAGACGGCGCCAAGTGGGCAGCCTGCTTCGAGGTTGGAAACAACTCCCCGCCACCAGAACTAAATCGACGCAATGTCCTTTTGCTACATCCGCACAGTGCCAGAGAAATTGCAGATATCACCCTGAGAACCCTTACAGATGTATACTGGGAGAGAGAGAAGAAAAAAAAAAAACAACTCACCCGTTGCGGGTCTGCTGTGCGGCAACCTGATAGGAGCAAAGCAGCAGAACAACATACAAGGAATAAAGCAAAAATAATAGCAATACTTCACTCAGGCACAAATAAAAAAAGGAAGGAACCACAGCATTTAAGATATAACGCAGAAGAAATACGCACAGACCCACTGCAAATTGTTGCTACCGCGGAAGAAGAGGTTCTTCCTATCTCATCCCTTTCGCATTGCGTGATTTCCTGTCTCCACTGCCTCGTTGAGGAACTGAACATTGATGCCATCTCCTGGTTGATAAACCTTCAGGCGACGACGCATTCCATACCTTCCCTTTTCATAGCTATTGTGTGACAGTGGTGTGGGAATGTGGGGAGTGCGAGCGTAGAATTCACGATCCACCTCTCTCCACGGCGCAACGCGCATCCATCTCCCCTCGATATGAGTGAAGCTTCTTCATAGGCTCAACGCCATCATACAACTTTGGCGGGGCGGCCCACCCTAAAAACCATCGACAAGCGACACAAAAATCACTAGCGCCAACAATCGATACTGAACTTACACCAAAGTGCCAAGTGCACTGCATCACGCCACTCACCACCCCCCAGTGAACGCCCGCTTCTAGCGGTAGCTGCGTGTCTCCCGCGATCGTCCACGGCACGCCAAGCTCCAGCCAGTGAAAGATGAACACGACATTATCAGGCAATGACAGCACAAAAAAGGCTCTACACTAGCACGCATACAAGATATATAAAATACAATGATCGAAAGAAAAAGGTTGGCGAATACACAAGCTACATTAATCAAATGACAAAAGCAAAATACACGTTCCGAAACACATATATTCCGTAGTGGCTAAGAACGAAAAAAAAAAAAAACCACCAATTCCAAAACCACTAGCCCTTTCCACAAAAATAAAAATAACAAAAGGAAAAACAGATAAACAAGGTGTACAGCAACGCAGCATCAGACCCTCGTACGGCCCGTCGCACCCACACGATTCGGCCTTTTCTGCCCAGTCGCCGTGAAACTCGTCTGCAAACAAGCAACAAAGAAAGGGGGAGGAAGGACCCTTCGGGAATTTCCCCGGCACCAAAATGACCTCGCCGCCAACATTACCTCCACTCATCGCCAAAAAACCGCCGCCGTTAAGAGCGCAGCCACAAAAACACCGCCTCTGCCCCGCTGTCCACACGGCCGCGACACTGGGGGTGTTGCACAGACACGGTTAGAATCCCAGCAACTAGCACGTCTCTCACAACCCACACGGCGACACGCATCACCGGAAACTCCTTTCCTCACGACCCCGTCGTTCCCTCTTGAAGACATGCGCCCTCCACCCACGGCGTGACGCAATAGAAAAGACTCTCCAAGTCAAAAAAAACTGGAAAAAAGGGTCTTCTTCCAGCACGTTGTACACAGAGCGTAGCCCTATGCGCGCGACACCGCGCAGCGGCTGCCCCCAACAGACCCCTCGCCAACAGTCGCGCAATTTGTGCCTCACCACGCCCTGCGAAGAGAACCGCCTATGGCAGCGAGGGTGCACTGTGGAACCCATGCGGGCCTTGGAGTCTCCCTAGTCGCTGACAAGACCACGGACGAAACAAAGCGTGTCCCCAGCCCCTCACGCACACGAGCCAGAGGGCGGCAGATGCGCAGGCACCACCACCAGGATGGGGCCCAGGTAACTATTGCCCCGCATAAAAAAATGCACAACGTCGGGGCAGGCCTCTCCGTCGGCGTCCGCTCACGAAAACAAAACACGGCCACATGCCTTCAGCACCAGCGCCCCTCTTTCAGACAAACCTTCAGACAAGAAAAAAAAATACAAAAAAATAGCACCAGCCTTCGACCAAACCCAGCACAATCACCATCGCCCCCTCACACCACAGCAGCCAAAGAACGACCTGCCGAGTCCGTGCCCGCCCGCACAGCTCAATAAATATCGCTGCTTGCCGTTGCTCTCCCACACCACGGCGGCGCCCGCGCACGGTGAGGCATGAGTGGGTGGAGAACTGATGTAAACAAAAGTTAT